GCTAATAGATTATACGTTATAGCAAAATGTTGCTTTATATTGCTACTCCAGCAGCTTTGGTTTCAAGCATAGTTATTACTAGCTACAATATCACCAATTTTAAAAAATGTATATCAAAAGAAGTTCATGCTATTGACTCATTTACTCCCATATTTATTATTCTTATTGAAAATCGCTAGACCTAATTCTATTGGTTTCCTTCCTGATTGAAAACATTTGAACCTAGAAAGCACAGTATTTCTTAAGACATTTGTAACTATTCATTATAGATATTAAAATTACAATCATGCTGCATTGTGTCAGCAATGATTATTTTTTTCCAAATTTTTACACATATGGTAAGCGGGTGACCAATGCTATCCAGGTTTGAAGATGCTGAATGTTCTTATAAGTGGTATTTGAAATTTTGATGTGTATTGCATTCATTACCGAATATCAAGAATACATGGTTTTTTTTTTTTTTTTTGCTAGTATTATAGAGTAAATTTAAAATAGGATCTTTTGTAGAAGCACCCATCCTGTTTAGAATGATATAACAGATGCTGAATGTTCACATATCAAACAAAATGCCAGCTTTCTGTAGAAAAGAGGTGTCAAAAAGTTTCTTTGTACCTTTAACGCATGTGATTATGTAGTACAAAATGCAGAGTTTGTAAAATTTCTTGAATATACAGGCAAAAAAATGAATAATTCAGAACAACTCATAAGTTCTACATTCTATTGTCCCTTTATAACGCAGGCAGAAGATAGCAGTGCGCTCCCAATAGAGCTGAATTTGCACAAGTTACACCTCTGAAAATGCCAGATGGTCTATGGTCTACTTTTGAGAGCTGTCATATATGTAAAGATTTGAAAAAAGAAAGACAGCTGAATGAGAGCAGTGGATCATTAAAGGGAGAGCGAGGGTCCCTAGGCATCACTTGTGTTTTAAGAAGCATTGTGTCGTTTCCATATTAGCGTGCTTTTTTTTTTTTTTTAAAGCCATACACAACTTTGACACAATAAGGAGGAAATCTGTTTAAAGTCAAGTGGTTGTGGTTTAATTGGTCAGGCATTTTTGTTCTTTATTTGAAAATAAAATCATGTTTGCTACTTGGTTTTAACTGTAATTTTACCATAATTCAAGTCATACCTATAAACAGTTATCAATAAAGTTAAATTTAATTTTTGTTGAGATAGTTAATGTATTTAAGGCTTACCCAGTTTTGATTTGACTTACGTACTACACACACCTGGCAAAATTATTCAACTAAGAAATTGTTTTAATTTAAAAAAAGTTGGAGTAAAGGGATAATACTTGGTTATCTGATTATAATCCAATCTATAGTGAAAATAATTCGGTGACAGTGAAACAAAAATAATATACTATTACTTGTCTGCCAACAGATATGGATATCATTTTGAAGACTGAGATATAGATAAATCATTAAGAATGCATGAGACTAGCACCCCAGCCATACCTAGTAATTTGCAAATAGTCAATTTTGATATCAGAAAAATGTCAAATATGTTAATTTTAGAATTTGGTAGCAGGATACAAGTGTCTTTCACCACTCTTTATTTATTGAAAATGTTTATTACATAGTAATTCTAAATTTATTTTGGATTATGAAATTTGACAGGACGTTTTTGAATGACAAGAAGTCTCCTCAGCATTGGTCAATGACATTTCAGCTTAAGCTCTCAGATTGCTTGAATTATTCTTTTCAGAGGAAAAAGTGGCCCAAAACATTCATTTATTTGGTGAGATTATTAGAAAGAGCTCTGAAAAGAACGCTAAATTAGGTTTAACTGTTTTTTTTTTTTAATCTTGGCATCTTTTTACATAGATATACATAACTAGCTTTATGTCCAATAGCAGTCATTAGAATGTCATTCTAGTTTATACAGGAAGTTACAGAAGCAGCAAATTAATATTTAAATCCAACGATTGCACACCGATAAGAAATAGATCTCCCTTTAGAGATGCTTTGTAGATTTTAGTTATAAGAAGGGCATATATAATTGCTAAACAGATGTTTACTTTTAGACTATTATTCCTCTTTATCACTAAATAACTGAAAAACTATAACAGGATTTTCTATATTTTTATAAATCAGATAATGTTAATAGACTTGGTATGAAAGTATGCACTTAAATAAAATAATCCATCATTTTTCTTGAAATATGCTTATAAATGAGTAGAATGTTTTGATATGTTACGATATTTTTCTTTATAGTACATAGGATGTATGAACAAAACTTTAAATAAACAATGGCTTACTAAAGACTTAGTCAGATGCAAACGGTCTTATTTTTTTCTGAAAAATGTTTCAAGTCCTATCTAATCCCCATACTAAAGATAATAAGTTCTCTTTAGCACATTTATCAACCCCATGTATAACTGTTAAGGTTTACTGCAATACCTTTTCCAAGTGGAACAATTCTTCATAGTCTTATGTAATTTGCATTTCATAATTGCTCATAATCGTGAACAGAAAAAAAGACTAATTAAAACAGCAAGTTTTAGATTTTGAAATTCCAGGAAATTATACCACAGTAAAATTTTCACAATAATTTTTTGTTGTTGTTGCTGGTGATTTTGCTGAAAAGCTGTCATTTATAGCTTTCCTTAAAATTTATACAGTGAAGGTAAATGATTTTAATAGTAACCTTATTACTTAACCAATGTAAATAGATAACTTTTGGGGGGCCATCAGGGCTTTTAGCTGCAAAAATCTTGACTAATTTAAATAGAAAATAAATTTATTAGCAGGACACAGATGCTCCCAGAGTTATACAGACAAGGATCACGTCCATCCATTTAGTAGGGCTTTTCTATTGAAAATCCCACTGCTATAGCACTGGGCCACTGTTTTGCTAGGAGGTGGACACCATAACTTGTCCCTCACTGCCAAAGTCAACAAATACCTCTTCATTGCCTGTGTTGAGAGACTCCACCACCCTGGTGTGGCTAACAGCTTGCATCGATCACTTCCAAATGCAAGCCATGCTTATGTTCAGTAGAACTTAGGTCACATCCTTGTCCTCTAGTTCCAGAGTAGCCTAGGGATGTCATAGAGGAATTTACCTAACCCCATGAGTGTGACCAGAAATGCCGGACACCACAACACAACACAACACAACACAACATAACACTTGAATATTCACCCCATTTGTTTTATGATTCATTGGCTAAAGAATCATATTTGTTTGTGCTTATGCTATTAAAACAGTCTTGTCCATTTTCACGTTAAATAAATGTTTTGTCTTTTCTATATAGGCATTTATTAAACTTGGAATTTACATGTACCAATTATATTAATTACGTGATACCCAAATTGTATTGTTAATTATATAAATATTATATTTATATATTTAATATATAATGTATATAATATATAAATATTATTAGATATGTATATAATTAACATAATTATGCTATATATTAATATAAACAACCTATGTTGTATCTTGCTATATTAATATTTATGTCAATATTAATATTATTTAATTATATTTATTGATACAATACATAAATTAATTATACATATTAATTACACCCAAATTTGTAGGTGTGTGCATGTCTGCCTAACATTAATATATGAGTCCCATGTTTGGGGCTCAATAATTTCATAAGCTTCATTGGCTTATATGTCTCTGCTTTATCCAATGCCACACTGCTTTAGGTACTGTAATATAAATATCTCATAAGTCAAATCCCACAACACTCTTTTCCTTTTTAAAATTTCCTTGGTGTTTCTTGATTACTGTTCCATCTAAATATTTGGATCAGCTTGTCAAATTCCAAAACAGGCGTGTTGGAAGTGTTATGGAACTGGCATTAAATAATAAATTGGGGAGAATTAACATAAATAACATTTATACTCTCTCCACTTATTTGAGTTTCTTTTATGCCTTTCAGTCGTGTTTTGTAATTTTTGCCATAAAACCTCTGCCCATTTTTTTCTAGTTTAATTCCAAGATACATATAGTGTCTTTTGTTTGTTCGTTGGCTTATTCTTTCTTTTTTTGCTATTGTGAAGAGTTGTTTGGCTTGTGTCTTTGTTAATTGGTTATACTATTTCCATATAGGAGCATTGTTGATTTTATATGGTTCTTCGTGTATCAATCTCGCTAAATTTTTGGACTTTCAGTATTTATAGTCTCTTAGATTATCCCCAGAACATTCAAATCTGTGCATATCTCAAAAATTTTGTTTATTCTGGTCTAGAAGTCGGACGTATTAAATTTCTTTGTCTTGTTTACTGCCTGTACTATGATCTCCTATGTAATGTTGTGTAAGTTGTGTAAAGGTAGACATTCTTTGCTGATTCCTGACCTCAGGGAGTATGTCTAAGGTCCTGACATTTAATTTTGGTAGATATGTTTTATTTAAAAAAATAGCTTATATTCCTAACTTTTCATAACTGGTTTGTTTAAAAATCAAATTAAAGAATAAATATGGAAAATATTTTCTTCTGCAGGATTTACAATGGGATTTTTAAAGAAAGCACTGTATATCTCTTTGTATTGCCCAGCTTTGAATACCAGAACTTATCATTTCTTTCCTTTTATTTGAAAAAACAACTGAGTTGCTTATTAGTTATAGTAGTATTAAGATAACACTGTTGTGTCTATTGCACAAAGAAGGCCCAGCACATAGAAAACAATCAGTGTTCTCTGAATAAGAACCACCCAAAACAGTATTTCTCTGCTCTACTTTTTATATCCTTGTACAAACCCACTTTTGATGA